CCAAACGGAAAACCAAGGCTACCATACTGGCTGTACCAAACAGAAAACCTAGGCTGCCATACTGACTGTACCAAACAGAAAACCAAGGGTACCATTCTGACTGTACCAAACATAAAACCAAGGGTACCATTCCGACTGTACCAAACAGAAAACCAAGGCTGCCATTCTGACTGTACCAAACAGAAAACCAAGGGTACATTCTGACTGTACCAAACATAAAACCAAGGGTACCATTATGCTGCCATTCTGACTGTACCAAACAGAAAATCAAGGGTGCCATTCCGACTGTACCAAACAGAAAACCAAGGCTGCCATTCTGACTGTACCAAACAGAAAACCAAGGCTACCAATCTGACTGTACCATTCTGACTGTACCAAATGGCTCTTTCCTGCATTTAGGTATCGTCACTGATCAAAGATCAAAACCCATGTCTAAAATCTTCCGAAACAATTATCAAAAATACAACAAAAAGGGAAAGTGTACCTATAAAATCTGTTTCGACATTATTGATTTATATGTTTTCCTGCAACAGATCATTTATTCGTAAACTGATTAACAAAACTGTAAAACGTTTTGGACCCAGTTTTGATACACAATAAAATACAAACATTATTATCAATTTAACCGTTTTCCTTACGAAATCTAATTTTGAAAGTAACTTTTAAGATACCCTTGTGCAAGACTTTTTATATTTCTAGTTATTGTATTTACAATTTTACCAGTACTCTATTTTTTTTCAAATTCATAAATTAAGTGTCTTTACTTTTTATACCTGCCCGATACTGTTGAAACAATAGTTAATTTATTTTTAGCATACTATAATTTACTCAATTTTGAAGAAATCAGCATGTGTGTTACGTTAATCTTAATAGAAGAAAGCGATGCTATTTTTTTATTTAAATGTTATAATTTCGTCATGGTAATTAAACTTTTCCCTTAAATCAAGTGTTGGAAGTGCCACTTAGTTTTGTGACAAAGTTATCTTATATCCCAAACTATATGAGTCTTAATTTATTTCGAGTATAGAATTTCCTGTTAATAAGTAATGTTGTTGTGATCAAGAAAGCAAATGTTTGAACGATATATACTAGCACATTTTTAATTAATCCAGATTTTCTAAACTGTTAAAAATCAATCACTTTGGTCTTTATTTCCCTGTCTGAACACATAGGTTCGGGTTTATGAAGAAAGAACCCAAAAGTAGGCGTTTATCGTAGAGTAATCGTTCTTGGCATACTCAAATCACTTCGGCACTTGAGCGTGTTGTACATAACACTTTGCATTCAGTTAAAGTGAAATATGCACACATTCAAAAATGATTTTTCAAAAAATTGTTCTGTTGTTAGCAGCAAACCTATAAATGGAAACATTTCATTTTGAAAACTTTCGAGTTATTGTGTACGTACACCCCATTCCGACGTATTTATGAACAACTTAGCATACTGTGTTGTGTTGATGATTAAATCTCACCTATCTGTTACAAGATTAAAGATTTCCATCGCCTGTCGTATCTAAACGATAATCGCTGAACTCGGTTCATTCCAATTTCAGATATTGAATTTCCGCTTTTACTGCGAATGACACATTCGATGACTTATGCTAAAACATACCGCGTTATTTTTATGTATACAACTTTTATTTTCTCTAAAATCGTGGGAAATTTTACATCACATATTTTGTTTATGACGAATTCATTTGAATATTTAACCTAAAGTTGTACCAGAGAGCGTATTAATATCCCTTTTTGATAACGGGCATTTTTGTTGCAATCATTGAAATCACTTCAACCATATACAAAACACTTTGAACATTTAGAGAGATACGGGAGTCGGTGTGTAAACGTTACATATCTTCTTCATAATTGCCGAATTATACACATCAACAATTTTGATAAATGTTTTAAAGCCTGAGCACGTTTGATATCTATTAACAAAGTCTCTACGAAGGAAATCGTTCCGAGTTTAAAATGTCGAACAAAATGTCAAATATTTCAAGCTAACAGTTTCAACAGTAAATAGAGAGAGTTAGTGTGTTTTTTTTTAAATCGAACTGTTTTAAGCTAACAGTTTCAACAGTCAGTAGAGAAAGGTTTTTTTTTTTTTTTTTTTTTAAACTTTTTCAAGCTAACAGTTCCAAAAATAGGCATTGAATATTAAAATAATAATCAAATATTTCAGGCAAACAGGTTCAACAGTAAGTATAAAATGTTAAAGCAAAAAATCAAATATTTCAGGCATGCAGTTCCAACAGTAAGTATATAATGTTAAAAAATGACAACAATTTCAAGCTAAATTTTCCAACAGATAATATGAGGAACAAGACGTTTAAGGTTTTTTGTCTCACAATGATAAAAATATTAAGTTAACCTCATTAGGTACTGTTTAAACCCGTTAATATAGACTTAAAGCTGTTATAACGGACTCAATTTCTTATATTTCTTATTCGTAAAATTGTGACAGGAATTCATTCTCGCTAATACATGGAGTTTTGTTCTTTTACACTTGAGTAAAAAAAAATAAAAAAATTCTGGAAAATAGCTTAAATAATTATATTTTGTTGAATACCAAACAAGTACATTTCGCTGTATATAGGAATATGTTTCGGAACACATAATACATATACATCCTTTTACTCCCAAGTACCACTAGTGAACCTCCATTGACACAATGACAATAATAAGTAAAAGGTTTCCTTTGCTTGGCTTTACGCATCGACGTATTACATTTCTTTGAAAAGATTTTTCTCGTTAATCCTGCTTCATGAAGAGCTTTTTGCCGCCTGTGTTAAAAACAATGTCCGAGGTTTCCTTGTATCAAAATATAGAATGGTAGAATCGAAGGAAATATTAAATCTGAAAGGTTAACGAACTAAGATTTGAGGCGATGTTTCCATTACAAAATAAAATGTAACATGAACTCATTGCATGCTTACAGTAATAAAACCATACATAGTAGTTAGAATTTGTGAGGTAATGCACGGCTGAAACCAGGCTATACTTGCGATCCCCTTCAATATGACATTTCCTATTCCTTTACACCCGGATCTCACACTTTTAGCGAAGTGGAACCAACCTAGTGACCTGGCCCATCAAGCCCTGCCTCCCGTATCCCTCCCCAACCGACCACTAATTATGTATGCAGGCGAGTGCAATTTGGTGTAGAAACCCGCCAATGAAACAGCTAAATCGTCGTGCCAATCTCTGTTATTACAAGTCATCGAACGCTATAAGGGCGTTAGGGCGGACGCGGGGTTACGACTGGGTCGAGGAGAGTAACAATTACTCCGAGTATTATATCAAACAGCTCAGTAAGGAATGACGGAACAACCAAAGTGTTTTTTTTTTAAACAATTGTATCTACTATTAAGACGTGCAATTGACTTCAATTAGAATTCTAAAATTCATTAATAAAACAAGACTGACAGGACAAGGCAACTGAATACATAACATCGCTACGGCCATTCCACGTAGAGTTCAGTCCGATTTCCTCCTCATATGTTGATACTGCAAGTTTTGTCGATATAAATTGCCACTGTGATATATCATATCCTGATATTTTAACGGTGTATTTTGTCTATATGTGTTGATGCTACGGTATATTTTGTCTATATGTGTTGATACTGCGGTATATTTTGTCTATATGCGTTGATACTGCGGTATCTTAATAAATGCAGGTAATGATCATCTAACAAAATATCGAATTAGTTGCTTTTTTATTAGTGGGTAATCAACCTATGGAAAAATATTATGTAAAAGAAAAGTAAAATAAAGTGATTAATTTGGAGTTGGTTAAATTTTAACATTTAAAAAAATATTACTTATAATGAAATATTAGTTTAATAGCAACAACTGCGTAATATTCAACAATAATACAATTTCCAAATTATCAAAGTGGAAATATTTCTATATTAATCTGAGCTAGGCCATGCACGTAGTTTCAGTTTAATTATCAAAGACTTCATTGTAACTGGGATGGGAATGATCTTACTCCGGTAGAATGTCTTGTGATGATTCAGGTTGTGTAAGAATGTATATAATATATTTTCAAGTGTAAAAAAGTATAATTTGTGTGTTAAATTAAATATTTACATAGATATTGAATTTAAAGAGCAGCTATTATATAGAAATGTTAATTAAAGTACGAGTGAGTAAACCAGCAGACTGACGACTCCGTGTGTCGTTTAGACAGGAGTATATAGGGGGAATCGGAACACGAGATACACTGTTTGGGGGATATAACAAAGAAAACACACTTCCAAACTTTTATTGAGTTGATAGTTGAGTTTACAGGTGTGAAATGTAGATGAGGAACGTAGTCTGAAAGTCAGCTTTAAGTGGTGGGCCGGTCGGGCGAGCGCCCTACCTGTGGCGGGCCGTGACAAATGACTTAAAGACTGACGCTAGAGAGTTTTCCCACGATCCTCACTCCACGTGTATGTAGAGCTGTCAACCCTATATATAACCAGCGTCTGTTTCGTCGCGAGACTCCTGCACCGTGCGCTTATTGGCAACACTTTGCTCAGTATGTACATTGTAATAAATACTATTAATTTAAACATGCATGTTTTCTACCTGTATTGCAACTTTAAGTATATTAGAATCTGTTCCATTTTTTATTATCTAATAAAAGTAAGATATTAATTCGTTTCGATTATGACGTGGGTTAACTGTTGCTTCACGTAATAAGATTTTTATACCTTATCGTCTGAACTATTTCCCTCTGTTACACGGTAAAAAGGCATCTTCTAAATGTTATTATAAGTTACTTTGTTCGGTAGCCCATCGCTTATATCAGTTAAATTCCTGCTCACAGAACTACTCATCAATGGGAAATTACCATACATATGAAACACAAGTCATAAAGGAGGTCAATAACTATATTTCAAATCCATTGTAAGCATATTTTGCTACTCGGCTGCAACAAAGACCCTGTGTAAAATCGAGTTTCTATAGAAAAGCACACTGGATTACTGCGAGGTACCTCTGGCATATACTACAGACGTAGTGACCGCGATCGACAATAATTTCTTAAAAACCTGTACAGGTTTGGTAGGTTGACCGGTAAAGGTGCTTAATCGATTTATATTAATACAGCGTCTTGTTAAAATACATAATATGCCTACAGGGTGCTATAGACAAGACGTCTACGTCTCGGGTCTGTCCTACACGAGCGGTCGCGTGAGTTGCGCGTGCCTACTGTTGACATGGAGCAGTACACTGCTATCTGTATCTGCCGCATCAGATTACCCCAGCCATTGGATGATACAGAGAGCGTGCCTCAGGATTCCACAACTTATACGATGATGCGTAGAGGTTAGGTGTTGTTTGAAAACTTGTGGAACCAAGTGTTGGGTAATAGTAATATAACAGCATCGTGTAGCTAACACATGCAAATGAACTAATTTGATTTGAAGAATCTATTGTGCTATGGGCACATGCTTGAGTGCGTGTCCGAGGTTCGCACGCCACTACGCCGACACCTGACCGATTGGCCTATAGTAGAAGACTTCGAAAACAGACAGCATTGCCCCTTTAATTTACAAGATAGGAGGACATGCGCAGTGTGTACCTGAGAGTAATAATAAGTTCCCACAGCGTGTACGATGGAGTAAAAAATTTGTGATCATCGCAAAAGATGCAAAAGGATTTAAATTATTTGTACCGTGGAAAATTTACTTCCCAGAAGGATGTTAATGGAGCCATTTTATGTAAATTTTAAGCGTACAGGATTTGCCAAGTTTTGTGTCTGTAGGAATGGTTTTTGGCGATTCCTTGGAATCTGTATGTGTGATTTTGCTCCGGAATGCTTCTCCAAGCCAGGTATGTTTAATGGTTAGCAGGGAGAGAATCTTCCCACGGTCACATTTTGGTAGGAAAAACTATGATCCTTTCCAGTTTATTGGTTTTTCTGGCAATCTTGGGAATTTCAACAGGTTCTGGTTACTTTGAAATTCAAATTACAACTATCCGGAATCCCAGAGGAGAGGTATTGGATGGAGAGTGTTGTGACGGGGAAAGGGATGCAGGCAATAAGTGTGTAGAAGAATGCGATACGTTCTTCCGTGTTTGTCTCAAGGAATATCAGAGCAGGGTCACGGTCGATGGCCACTGTACTTTTGGAAATGTTACAAGCCAGGTTTTTGGAGGAAATACCTTTACCTACCCTTTGGATAGTAGCCGAACCCGACTAACACTACCTTTTGAGTTTTCCTGGACGGTAAGTACTGGAAAGACACATTTATAATGTATTCATTATTTTGCCTAATTTTTATCGTTAAATTCATCCAAAAAATATTGTATGATAAAAGGCGTGTTTCTGAAGATAAATATAATATGTATGTTCTTCAAACTAACGCTGTGTTAAAGTCCGTAAGATTTAATTCTCGGAGAATGGGTCGTCTGCCTGGTGTGATTCAGTGGTCGTCAGATGAGGAACGTTTGCCATGCGTGGGAGATTTTCTCACGCTCTTCTGTTCAGGTGTATATACAACCAAACTGTTGTCTATTTACCCTATGGGCCAAATATATAGGTATCCTTTACATGTGATCTACTTGTTTTGCTTTCATTTAAAGATTACCTAAGAAAGATAACACGTTCCTGCATGTATCCTATCCATAATTCGTTGTACGAGAGAAAAATTGTAATATCGAAGAAACGGATATTATTTTCGTGAAAAAAACAAAAAAAAAATCTTGAAATGTTTAACTTTTTAAAGCTACGTTACAATGATAACGAGTTTTGGTATTACAATGAGAATAGGTGCTCCTTTAAGAGGACACAGCAGATGACTGGTAAAGTGGGGATCTCGACATTAAACAGGTATAGGCAGTGATGATGAGGTACATTTTTCACATACATTATAGATGATGCATTGTATTCTAATGACCTGATGGGTATTAAAATCTCATTACGGTGTCAAAAGGTGTGTGTGTGTTGTAGACTGGCAAAGACCAGGTATAATTTTGAGGAAGTCTCCTCCCTTCTTATAGTAAAACACGCGCATACGCGTGGATAAATTTCATTGATACATTTGCCAAGAATATGCCAACTTATTTCAAATGTGGCAGAAAAGCGTGTGTTTACATGAGCTTCTGGCGTGACTAAGTCGACCCAGTACGTTTCAAGGTATTGCTGAAGTTCTGGGAGATGAGAGAGGAAGATGTTGGTTAGTGATCAACGCATCATGCCGTCGTAAAGGACCGGTGATATATTCTCCCACGTAGGGAAATGAAAACGTTTTGATTTATGATGATGTGATGGAATGAAGTGTTAGTGTTGATGCGATAAACTGAGCCGTTTAAGGGTTGTCAATGGTTGTCACGTGTTGTCACCTCCTCGTGTTTTGAGATGTATCCAATAAATAGGCCTCGTCTCCTACCTTGTCAACTAAAGCCAACTATTTACCTAATTATTGTTCCGATCAAATACTGTTACGGTGTATCGCTTGCCCTATCATTTCATATGACTGTGGAGGTGATGGATACAGACATGTGTGAGGCAAATTACAAAGTCATTACCGGCAGTCGACATGCTCACGATGGCGGTCGCCGGAAGTTGGCACGCGGCGCCACCGGTTGACGGAAGTCACAAAATTGGACTGTCAATACGCTTGAGTTGCTCCCAAAGAGTTTAACGATTCCACATCACGTATTCAATGGACGCTTTTGAATTCAATACACCATGTCTATTCAACGCATAGTGATAGACAAACACTACAACACATGCTTCAAGTTTATCGAAACACGACTTCTCACATCTGTCGGAAATGGAAAAGCAAATCGTTTCCTAATCCACAAGAAGTCCACACCTAACATGAAACATACTGCTATGGCTTATTTTCAGCATATTGAAAACAAGTAAACGATCAATTTATACAATAAAAGTAAAATGAATTGTATTAATTGTGTAATCATATACAATGCACAGGGACTTTTTGTTATATATAAAATATATAATAACAGTGGAAACTCGTATTGCGAATTAGTGTTAACATGTACATGTAAAATGTCTGTGTGATAGGCAATGTATACGGAAGTGTAATTATGTATGAAAAATGTAAAGTCTTTAATATCACATTGGAATAGTGCATACTTGAATATAACTACATGTATGTTATTGGTTATGGATGAAAAGTGTATATTTAAGTTATAACATGTGTACTTATGATATATGCACTTTCGGTATTAATTTTTATTTGGAAACATATGCACAAATATAAAACAATATCACAGCGTAAACACATACGGACGAGACATATATACACCAAGCTGATATAAACAAAAGGAATATAGTTATATTATTTACTAATTCCAATACAAGTGGACAGTTGTAGCCCCGGTTACAGTTAAGTTTATAAGTGAGACAGCTGGTGTGACAGTTAAGTTTATAAGTGAGACAGACGGTGTTACAGTTAAGGTTATAAGTGAGACAGATGGTGTTACAGTTAAGGTTATAAGTGAGACAGACGGTGTTACAGTTAAGGTTATAAGTGAGACAGATGGTGTGACAGTTAAGGTTATAAGTGAGACAGACGGTGTTACAGTTAAGGTAATAAGTGAGACAGACGGTGTTACAGTTAAGGTTAAAGTGAGACAGCTGGTGTTACAGTTAAGGTTATAAGTGAGACAGAGGGTGTTACAGTTAAGGTTATAAGTGAGACAGAGGGTGTTACAGTTAAGGTTACCATTATTTAGCCCAATATCCTCTCTAGTTACCAGGATCCATCTGAACCATCATCTAGCCCAATATCCTCTCTAGTTAACAGTCTCCATCTGTACCATTATCTAGCCCAATATCCTCTCTAGTTACCAGGATCCATCTGAACCATCATCTAGCCCAATATCCTCTCTAGTTAACAGTCTCATCTGTACCATTATCTAGCCCAATATTCTCTCCAGTAACCAGTCTCCATCTGTATCATTATCTAGCCCAAAATTCTCTCCAGTAACCAGTCTCCATCTGTACCATTGTCTAGCCCAATATCCTCTCCAGTAACCAGTCTCCATCTGTACCATTATCTAGCCCAATATTCTCTCTAGTTACCAGTCTCCATCTGTACCATTATCTAGCCCAATATTCTCTCCAGTAACCAGTCTCCATCTGTACCATTATCTAGCCCAATATCCTCTCCAGTAACCAGGATCCATCTGAACCATTATCTAGCCCAATATCCTCTCTAGTTACCAGTCTCCATCTGTACCATTATCTAGCCCAATATCCTCTCCAGTAACCAGGATCCATCTGTACCATTATCTAGCCCAATATCCTCTCTAGTAACCAGGATCCATCTGAACCATTATCTAGCCCAATATCCTCTCTAGTAACCAGGATCCATCTGTACCATTATCTAGCCCATACTGTAGCCCTGAACGTGGACAATGTATACTAAATGGTAATATTGACAATGCATGATATGCTGAAATGTTGTACAGTGACAGTGTATTATATTATTAGCTGTATCTGTCGCTGTAATCTTCATCGTTGTAAGCTTTTTAGCTTTTGATAATGTCTTGATTGTATTTCATTAATTATTTATAATGTCCAACCGGTTGCGCATAAAATGACAAAAGTCCATTATTTACACATTGTATATACTTCAGTCCTGTACAGTGTTTTATAGTATTAAATACAATGTAATTTAGACGTATACAGTGACATAGTCTCCTATCTTTAACTTGTACAGTGAAGGTGCGTTTGCCTCTATACTTAAATCCTGTACAATGACAAGGTATTCAGAATAAAGTAAATGTAATAAAATGGGTCCTTCAGTAACTTGTTCAATCACAACCGCTGGTGTTCTTCCCATTAAACATAGCAGTCATTGTTATTCAACTAGCATATGATTTCACACGACCTGATAGCCTACCACATCGCGCAGGTATACGAGTTTAAATACCGTTTGCTACATGTTTTGCAATGATAATTAAGGACAAATTGACTTGAAAATAGCGCCGGAGATCAATTTGAGTTTTGGTGGATCGCGTTCCCACGCTTAGAGTGTTTTATTTACATTACTGGTTTCTGACAAGGAACGACTCCGACAATCTGTGGTCCCTGTCCTATCGCTAGCAGTAAGCTGTTAGGACGAATATACACTAACCACCAGCCTATACCCTTATCTCCTTTATCAGCCCATAATACATAGCCCATTTTCCGTTCTATTGAAGAACAGACTCATTCCGAAATCCAAATAATAATTCATATTCTATACGACGGATCAAGTTCGTTGTCAGCTTCGTTTTAATGTATTATGGTACACCTAGGACAGGTAATAAACGTTTCTTTTCTGTACGCATAGATAATATATTAGATGTTATTTGTAATGAAATAAGCGTTTCTCTGTAAAGTAGATACATGTAATATAATAAACGATTCTGTGTACATACAGGTAATATAATAAACGATTCTGTGTACACAGAATCGTTTATTATATTATCTGTATGTACACATAATCGTTTATTATATTACCTGTATGTACACAAAATCGTTTATTATATTACCTTTATGAACCCAGATTCGTTTATTATATTATCTGTATGTACACAGATTCGTTTATTATATTATCTGTATGTACACAGATTCGTTTATTATATTATCTGTATGTACACATAATCGTTTATTATATTATCTGTATGTACACAGATTCGTTTATTATATTATCTGTATGTACACATAATCGTTTATTATATTATCTGTATGTACACAGATTCGTTTATTATATTATCTGTATGTACACATAATCGTTTATTATATTACCTGTATGTACACAAAATCGTTTATTATATTACCTGTATGTACACTGATATTACTAACCATATACAATGTTGATATTAATATCAACATTGTATATGGTTAGTAATATCAGTGTACATACAGGTAATATAATAAACGATTATGTGTACATACAGGTAATATAATAAACAATTCTGTGTACACACAGGTAATATAATAAACGATTCTGTGTACAGACAGGTAATATAATAAACGATTCTGTGTACATACAGGTAATATAAGAAACGATTCTGTGTACATACAGATAATATAATAAACGATTCTATGTACATGCAGGTAATATAATAAACGATTCTATGTACATACAGATAATATAATCAACGATTCTGTGTACATACAGGGAATAAAATAAACGATTCTGTGTACCTACAGATAATATAATAAACTATTCTGTGTACATACAGGTAATATAAGAAACGATTATG